GCATAACAAGTGACTGCAAAGACCATAGCCTGTATCAGACGCACCTTAGTCTCCAGAGTGACACCACTGCCAACAATGTCCCACAGAAGTATAATGTGACTTGCTAGAGTGAGCTATATATATAAAATTTTCTTTTAGCCATTAACAATAAAAAAGAAATTATAGAAATGAGTAATAAAAATTAGTAAAACATTTTATTCCAGTTGTTATTACTGTTACGTACTATTCCATCAATTTCAGTTCAAAGTGGTCTTGAGTGACAGAGTAGAGCTGTCTTATATAGAGCAAATTGTCAGGGGTTTATAACATAGTCCACCAGGAGTTACAGTGCTAACTCAAAGGTGGCACCTCTCTACAAGTTTGAGTTCTCCAGCAGCTCTGAGGGAGAAAGATGAGTGAAAAATCTCCTCCAAGATGTAGTCTCCAAAAACCACTGGAGGTTCTGAACTGACCTCAGTGAAAGAGTTTATATCCCAGGAAGCTACTAGGAAGGTCTGAACCACAACTTTTCTGTTAAATGACAAGTGTTAATTATCATTCCTGTATGTTATCTTTTAAAAAACAATAATTTATTCATACTCAGTCTTTATAATCTAGTGTTTATTTACTAAACTCAGTTCATATGAAGTCTTAATAATCTAGTATGTATTTTCTACACTGAGTTTTTACTCTCAGAGAACTGGATTCGTTGCATTTCCAATGCTCAGCAGTGGCTAACCAAATGGACAGTACAGCTTTACACTATGATATGGACCTTGGATTTTAAAAAATGGGAAGGCTTTGCAAAGTGTTGAACACAAGCTTAATATGGTTTAAGTTATCAAAGAACCGATTTTATCCCTTGTTTCAAATAGATTGTAGAGAAATCCAAATGAAAGATTGTAGTGGCTTGAAACAAGGTAGTTGCAAAGGATTTTTAATTTATTTGTACGTTAAATTCAATAAGACTTCTAAGTGATTTAATTGTGAAGAGTGAGGAAAAGAAATTGAGTCAAAGATAATCCTCAAGTTTTGACCCAGGAAATTGAAAGAATGACATTAACAAAATGGGGAAAACTGTAGGCCACAATAATGGGTTCCATTTTAGACAAGTATGTGGTGTTGTGTGACTTCGGTCATAACCAACCAGTTTTCAGAGGCAGTTTATTACACAGGAGGAGACTGCCCATCCGTCTCCCGTCTCCCGCAGAGGAGTAGGCGCTTTGAAAACTATGTGACTTTGAGATTGCAGCACACATTCTTACCACTATTAGGCCATCAGACAAATATAAATATTCACATGTACATCTAAAATAAGCAGATCTCAAATTCATGAGAGAAGTCAAATATTAAGAAAGAAATTTTGAGATCATCATGATACTGAGAGTCAAAGCCAGAAGATCTAATGAAAATCGCCAAGTAAGCTTATTTACAAGATGAAGATCCAAACTAGAATCCTAGGGTGTGTAGTGGTGGTGGTGTTAGGTGAGGTCGATTTGAATATGAATCACAAGCACACTATAAACAATAGATCTAGGGGAGTTCTGGTGGCCTAGTGGCAAAGAGCTGCGACTACAATCCCAGAGGCGCATGGTTCGAATCCACCAGATGCTCTGCTGGGGAAGGAGGGACAATTTCCTCCTGTACCAGTCAGATCTGATTTGACAGTACACCCACACACACACACAAATAATAAAAAAATTTAAAAGAAAAAAACCAAAAAACAATAGATCTGAAGTCTCATGTATTCTGTGCCATCCTCACAATCTTTGACATACTTGAGTTCACTGTTACCAAGTCACGTGTCAATCCATTTGGAGGTCTCTTTCACTGACCCTCCACCCTTCCAATCAGGACTTCCCTTTCCAAGGAATAAACTCTACAAACAAAATGCTCAAAGTATGTGAGACAAAACGTTACTATGCTGCTTGCCTCCAAGAAGCACTCTGGGTGCACCTTCTCCAAGACTTACCTGATTTTTCTTTGGCGGAGAAGAGCAACAAGCAAAGTAATGTGACAAAGAAAGGTGAGGATGCAAGAAAATTAAAAGGAGGTACCCTGGAAACTAGGAAAAGAAACTCTAGCAAGAATCAACTTCCTAGGGGAGCTCTGGTGGCCTAGTGGCAAGAAACTGCAACTACAATCCCAGAGGCGTACGGTTCGAATCCACCAGATACTTTGTCAGGGGAAGGAGGGACAATCTCCTCCTGTACCAGTCAGATCAGGGGAAGGAGGGACAATCTCCTCCTGTACCAGTCAGATCTGATTTGACGGCACACTCACACAAAAATAATAATAATAATAAGATTTAATAAAAAAAGAGACTCAACTTCCGTACTCTTTTTTGGTTTGGCCTAATGTTATTGGGGTGTCACATATAAAGATTAAGTCACTTCTGAGAACTGAATACCTTTTATAGAATGCAAAAAAGGCAGGAGATACTTTGAGGCCGCAGTGCAGATTCATGGTTAAGGATGCCCCGCTCACAATCTGCTGTAGCAGGAGACCCTGCATCCACACCACGGCCCTGGCAGGCCCTGACAACCTCCTCACTTACCTCTACTTAAGCGTCTTACTGCCGCCGCCATCTTGACTACTCCGGATTCTGTTGACGAAATCGGTCCCACGCTGCAAATGGGAAGAGTAAAGAAAGGTTCCGCTCTGTAACTAAAGGAAGGGGAAAGATTAGAAAGAAGCAGAGAAAAGGGGTGGAGACCAGCGGAAGGGGAGACGGAGCCAGATTCTGAGCCGTAGTACTCCCTTTTTCCCCCATCAGTTCAGTGTTCTGCCAGGGACATTCTGTTTTATGTTTCCCAAAGTCAATCATGTCAGTTACAGGAAAATCGGCTATTTCTAGAAAATATAGCCATACAGATGTTGTAACTCCTCTATCCCTTTCATTTTACTTTAATGCATTTCATTTTACTTTTTTAATCCTGCAAGCGTACTCAGCAAGGACTCATTAAAACCTGAAGAAACCACACAAGGTTCAGCTGCCACGTGTGAAAAAAAAAGTATTCACCAAGCTTTCTGCCACCACCCAGGAATTGTTCTGCTAACTCAAAACCTCTTTTTTTTTTTTTAAGTTAGTACAAGGTAAAAGTGGGGAAAAGGTAATTATTTATTCATCTTACATTATTCTTCCCTTCGTTCCTCACCCCTCCACCCCATAAACACACCGTGTCATTAGAATCCATGGGATAATACTTGACATATATGTAACACGTGTAACTTTAAAAATGTCAGAGTTAAAACTTGAGCACAGATTACTCTGATTAAAAAACAATCATCATCAATGTCCTTCAAATTGTCATAGCAGTCATTAAGTATGGTCTTTGTTGTTGTTATGTGCCCTTGAGTCGCCTGCGACTCATAGCGACCTTATGTACAACAGCCCTAAACCCTGCTCTATCCTGTGCCAACCTGTCTCCAACACACCCACGCCCATACTCAGTCACTGAATCAATCCACCACATAGAGGATCTTCCTCTTCTATGCTGTCTCTCCACCTTTCCAAGCATGACATCCCTCCTTGCAACATGTCCAAAGTACGCCAGATGAAGCTTCAGAGTCCTTGCCTCCGAGGAGCAGTCCAGTTTAACCCTCTCTCGGATGAACCTATTCCTTTTCTTAGCAGTCCATTGAATACTCTTCCCAAGCACCACAGCTCAAAAGCATCAATTCTCCTTTTATCCTCCCAAGTCATTGTCCAGCTCTCTGATACACAGCAAGTGATTGCAAAGACCATGGCCTGTATCGGGTGGGCCGTAGTCTCCAGAGTGACACCATTGCTCCTCAGTACTCTGGAGAGTAAAAAGGGTAGCCACAGATTGGGAAAAAATATTTGGTAATGACATGTCAGATAAGGGACTTATATCTAGAATTTATAAAATACTCGAGCACCACAACAAAATAAAGGTAAATAACCCAATTGAAAAATGGGCACAGGACATGAACAGACACTTCACCAAAGAAGACAATCTCAATCTCTTCATCATCCATCATGATGCTGCCAATCAGCCCAGTGGTGAGAATCTTTGTTTTCTTGATGTTGAACTTCAATCCATATGAACTGCTTAAGAAAAAAAAAAAAAAAAAAGTAACCAGGCTGCTCCTTGGAGGCTAGGATTTTAAAGCTCTGTCTCATCTACTTTGGGCATATTGTCAAGAGGGAAGAGTCGTTGGAGAAGGACATCATGCTTTGCTTGGAAGGATGGAGGGACAGCACTGGAGAGAAAGACCCTGGATGAGATGAATTGACTCAATGACTGGGGTAAGGGAGTAGATGTGTCAGAGAAAATTAAATTGGCTCGAGATAGAGCATAGTTCATAGCTTTGTCGCTATGTGTCTCAAACATCTTGATGGCACATACCAACAGCTCTGTCCTATAGGGATGCTATAATTGAAATGACTCAAAGTAAATGGTATTTTTTAAGTTTCAGCTACACATTACAGCTCTTGAAACTCCAGAAAAATCTCCTCCCCAAGACACACACATACATTATTACGTCCATAACTCTGTTCCTTATGTCCCCTTGTGGAATATTTGGTACCACATCACCTTGTTAACGCGTGCCTTGTTTTGGTTTTTTTTTGTTTTTTTGTTTTTCATTTTCAACCCAAGCTTTCTTGGATTGAGGAAGCCTCTTTCACTTCCTGGTTATAGCCTCCCTTTATGATTTTGTACAACTCTCAAGATATGTATCTGTTTTTAAATAGTGTTGTTGAAATATAATTAATATACCATACAGTTTAACAATTTAAATTGTACACTAATGGTTTCTAGTATAGTCACAGAGTTTTGCAGCCATTGGCTTGACAACGCTTTGTGGACAGTGATCAAGTTTTACTGGTGTCTGTAATGTCAGAACCTACTATACAGTTGCTTGCACACAGGAAACCCTCAATAAATGTTTGTTCAATAAATGAATATGAGCACACATGAAGTAGTGGCTCAATTAGAAATGCGAAGCCTACAAAATTAACTTGCTTCCATGCAGCTGTCCAAAGTGTGCTTCATTGTGTATTTGTACGTTCTCACACTTACTCCCTCTCATTGCCTTCAAGTCAGAACCACTCATAGTTGACCCTCCTGTGGGTTTTCAGAGGCTATAATCCCTCAGGAGGCAATGGCCCATCTTCCTCCCATGACCTGGTAGATTTGAACCACCTGTCTTTGGAATTAAGATTTCATAATTTATTGCTCCATATTACTAACACTTCAGCAGCAATTTCAAAAGTCCCAAAATCATTCAAGGCTGTTAATTGGTTGGGTTTGGGGCTTGTTGTTTTTGGTTTGGTTTTTTTTTTTAAATAAAAGTAGTTTTTTTTAAATAAAAGTAGTTCTTTTAATCTGTTCTTGTAATTTTTATGCCTCTTTCCTATTTCCCTTTCTCCCTCCCACTCACAAATATGTTAATGTCTTCTGTGTGTTAAGTGGTATGTCTGCTTATGTATAAATTCAGTGACTAAAACCAACACAACCCCTACATTTCTCACCCAAAACCATGAAGATTCTAAGAGACAAAATGAGACCAAGCTTCAAAGGCCTCGCCTAAAGTATAAAGAGGCTAACAAATACAGCCAGAAATGCACAATCTGAAGAGGATAAAATTGATAAATGGGAACTTTAAAAGATTAAATCCGTGTGTACATCAAAATCTTTTTCCAGTAGGATGAAAAGAAAATCTACCAACTGGAAAAAAACATTTGGCAATACCATTTCAGACCAGGATCTCATAACAAATGTTTACAGAATCCTACAGGGCCTCCACAAGAAAAATACTGATAAACCATTTGCAAAATGGTCAAAAGACATGAAAAGACTTTTTACAGAGGAAGACATTCTGATAGCCAACAGGCACATGTAGAAATGCTCAAAATCACTGGTAATGTGAGAGATACAAATCAAAACCACAATGAAATACCATCTCCCCCCAGTACAGACACAAAATTTAACAGGACAACAAGCTACAAATGTTCGGTTTTTGTTTCTTGGCCAGGAACCTCTTGATCTTGAAAGTCTTATGAGAAGACATAATGAAGACAAAGTGGAGCCACACCAGAATCTTTTTTTCCTTAACGTTAAGCTTCAATCCATACTGAAGGGGCAGTCCTTGATCTTCTGCTGCAAGCGCTTCAGGTCCTCTTCAGTTTCAACAAGTAGGATTGTGCCATCTACATAACACAGATTGTTGATGAGTCTACCTCCAATCCTGATGCCACACTTCTTCTCATAGAGCCCAGCCTCCCAGATAATATGTTCCACATATAGATTGAAAAGATATCGAGATAGGACACATCCTTGATGCACACCCTTTCCAATTTCGAACCATGCAGTGTTTCCTTGCTCTGTTCTGACAACTACCCCCTGGTCCAAATAGAGGTTTCACATAAGCACAATAAAGTGTCTGGGATTCCCATTCTTCTCAGAGTCACCCACAGTTTGTTGTGATCCACACAGTCAAATGTCTTTGCATAGTCAATGAAACACAGATAGATATTCCTTTGGTACTTTCTGCCAAGATCCATCTGATTTTAGCTATAATATTCCTAGTACTATGGCCTCTGCCTAACCCAGCCTGCATTTCAGGCAGTTCTCTGTTGATGTGCTATTCCAGTTGTTTTTGCATAATCTTCAACAGAATCTTGATTGTATGTGATATCAATGATAATGTTTGATAATTTCTGCACTCTGTTGTATCACCTTTCTTTGGAATGGGAACAAATATAGATCTCTTCCAGTCAGTTGGCCAGGTGGATGTCCTCCAGATTTCTTGACACATCTTGGTGAGCACATCCAGGGCAATGTCTGTTTGTAGAAATATGTCAATCAGTATGCCATCAGTTTCTGTGGCCTTGTTTTTTTGCCAATTCTTTCAGAGCAGCTTGATTTTCTTCCTTCATCACCACAGTCTCTTGCTCATAAATTGTTTCATTAAATTCTTCTGTGTCTGCCAATTCCTTTTTGTTGCAGACTGAGGGTAAAGTATTTTTATAATTTTTAATAATGAGACAGACAACCAGGAACGAGATAAAACAGACAGCGTAAAAGACAGGGGGCCAGCAATTTCGAGGACTGAAGGCTTGGACTCCAGCTTTCTTGTATCTTTATTGAAAATTATCAGGAAGTAAATCATAAAGAGAATTCAATGTAAATGAAGCCAAGGGAGAGGTCAGCAAATACAATGCATGAATCTGGTAAACCCTTAAGGATTGGATTGCCTTAGTGCCTCAGAGTGAACTCCAGCTTGTACCATGCCTCCCCCACATCCTGAAATAGCATTCAGTTTATTGCAAATATTTAGTATTGGCTTCCCATACTTTTGGTAAAATGACTCTGTATATTCTTTCCATCTTCTTTTAATGCTTACTGGATCATTTAATATTCTTCCCAAAGCATCCTTAATTATTGCAACTCCAGGTTTGAATTTGTTCTTCAGTTCCTTGAGCTTAAGAAATGCTGAGCTAGTTCAACCCTTTTGATTTTCTGACTCCAGCTTCTTGTACATTTCAAAGTGATCGGATCACTTCTCTGTATACATTCATTAAAATCACAATTAAAATGAAATGCCATTTTAAAAAAAT